TTTTTTTTTGAAGGACCGTGTCCACGGATGAGGCTCCACTGGCTGGCTTGTTACCCCAGCCAGGGCAGCCCACAGACAGAAAACCTCAGCCTTTCAGGCACATCTCCAGTGATTTATGTGCATCTGTTCCTGGTCATAGGGAGAAGGATGGAGATAGACCTGTTACTCCACTAGTAGATGGAACTCTGGTAAGGAAAGTCTTTCTACCATTCTACCAACAATTTCTCTTTGACCTACAGCCTAAGAGAATTGTCTAGAAGGCTGCTAGGTGTCAAACTCATGGCTGGCTGCTGTGGGCATGAAGCCCACAAAATTCTGGAGTGTGGCCCAAACCAGAGCAAAATGTAATTGAAAAATGTTTAGCAAAATAAATAAAAATACAATAAAATATAGATGATGTTAATTTGTGGTTTTCTAAATCAGTATGTACCGGTAGGGATCCCTTTCTATTTGAGTTTGACACTCTTGGTTTAGAGAGCAGAGGGGTAAAAGTAACTACTCTGGGGTGTGTGTGTGTGTGTAGAAACATAAGTATATGTGTATAAATGTATGTATGTATAGTGTCCTGCTACTGTTGGCATATTATTTTTGGACACTGGAAAAAATCAACTACTAAGACAAAATCAACCCCCAAAATGGAATGTTTACCCACCAAAGAAAACCCTGAGGTGGAAAGTATGAAAATATCAACTTTCAAATTTGAATAAACAAACTCCACACACATACAGATACTCAACCCTAACATCCCTTACTGTCTAAACGGACAGAGGGATCGAGCAGGAATGGTTGGTTTTGTTTTGTTTTTTTAAAAAAATTTCTCTTTCTACACTAGGGGGGACGGATGACACAACTTGAGATACCAAAATAATGCGTACACAGGAGCTATCTGATCATCCCCAATGCGGCCAATGAAATGTCCTCAATTCTAGGCCCAGACTAACAACTGCTTCTCAGCTAAGCAATCGAGGCACGTTCAATACAAAAGGGTCCCAATTAAATGCGTTGCTTCCCTTCCACTCCTCTCCTTGGAATGGGAGTGGAAGAGATGGAAGGAGGCAAGAAGAGAGAGGGAAAGGAGGGAGATTGGTGGTAACTGGACTCAGCCAGAACAGCACCGCCCCCCCCAGCCCAGACACTCACTCACACACGCACACACACACTCTTTCTCTCTCTCTCTCTAGAAAGGGAGCTGAGCCAGCCAGCCTTCCTTCTCAAGAAAAGGTGGAAAGACTGCAATAAATAAACCCAAGCCTCAGTCCTCTGGGAGAAAGCTTACCATATTAGTACAACAGGCTAGCTGGCCAGCAGACTGTCCACCCAGGTCTGGCTGAACATCTGGCTCCCACCACACGTGGGAATTTTCCAGTCCCCTCCACAGAGGGCCCAGGCACTATCTTTCCAACAGGGCCAAGAAACCTCACACAGGGAAGCCCTGCCCACTGCTTCAATTGTTAAATTCTCAGTGTGAGCATATATATCTCAGAAATATGCAAATGCTACAAATTCAGGCTTGATTTTTTTTCCTCTGTTGATTGTCTAGACTTAAGAAAGTGATAGAGAAAACACTGATAATGCTAATCTGCATAACTTCAAAGTGCCAGGTGCACATTATTTGGGGAGCCCATTGTTTATTTATTTAACATAACTACACCAATCACACACAAGTACACACAAAGTTCTAGTTGGCCCCTTTCCCAAAATAGAAAGTGACAGATTATCATAGAGACTAAAATGTTTACTGACATCAGCCAAGTCAATCAAATGCACTACAATCCTCAGGGCCACTCCACAAATGAATGAATGAAAGAGCAAAGTGCTTACTATGGGCAAACATCAGCTATTATTGTCCTGGGATTACAAAGCCACTGTTGGTAATCTAAGAAAAGTCATGGAGCTTGGAAGAGGTGCTACAGGATTGGGGAGAGTCTGAAATCTATAGTTGAGTTCACTTGACTCAAAAATAACAGGCAAAACTCTAGAACGCATTATTGCCATAGGAGGGAAGCCCCGTCAGAGCAGGAGCTATTTCTTCTTGTCTCGGTACCTTCAGCTCCTGGCATACAGTAGGTGCTTAATTCATGTTTGTTGAATTGAACTAACATAATAGTTTAAACATTTAGACAGGGAAACAACAATGACCTTGAAGAACAAGTACAAGAACACATCATGCCAGACTAGCCTGGTGTTATTAGACTGGGAGACCAGCTAAATTTGGTAAGGCACAGCTTACCTAGAGTTCACTCAAACATTCATCAAAACTTCTCATAGTATTCTTGTCAAAAAGGTGGAGAGATGGGGTCTATGTGAGTGGGTTCAGGACTAGGTAAAAAACTAGATCCAGAAAATAGTCACTGATGGACAGATGCCAACCTCCAGGGCAGCATCTCATGGAGAACCCCAAGCATATGGCCATGGTCTTATTTTGGTTACCATTCATACCAGCAACTTGGAAGAAGGAACTGTTGGCACACTGGTCAAACCTTCAGAAAGTTGTAAGGAAGTGTTAACCCACTAGGTGACAATTGGGCTCCAAAAAGATTTCACCAACTAGACCCACGGGCCAAAGCTTATAAGACGAAACTTAACAGAAATAACTGTGAGGTGTTTCATTTGTTTTGTAAGCATCAACTGCCCAAAAAGAATGCAGGAGACAAGGGCTGGATGAAGAAATCCCTGGGCATTTTAATGGACTGCAAACAATACAAGCCAGCAGGATGAGGGGGTAGACAAAAAGACTAACGCAATGTGAGGCTGAGAAGGTGATACTCCCACTGGATGTGGCCCTAATCAGACCACAGCTTAGACAAGCTGAAACACATCTGTACTAGGGTAACCTGGAAGGTGTTAGAATCTGCCACATGGGGCCTGGCAGAGGGAACTGGGGATTTTTAGCAAAGAGAAGGGGGGAGGTTCATGGCTGTCTCCAAGGATGTGAAGGTTGCTGTGTAGAAGAGAGATATGCCTTGTTCAACTCAACGTCAGAGCCAAGAACCTGGAACAATAAGTGAAAACTGACATTTCAGTTTGATACAAGGAAAAACTTCTTAATTTGAGCAAGGGTTTTTAATCTGGCACCTATCTGCAGGTAGTTTTCATGAACTTGGATAGGGAAAAAATTACATCTTTGTTTCAAAATAATTGGCTTATCCTTTGTAATTATCTGTATTTTATTTTATATTTATTTCTCATTATTATAAGAAGGGGTTGCTAGGTTCCACCAGATTGACCAAGGAGTCCATGATACAAAAAAGTTAAGATCCCTGAAAGAGTTAGAGCCATCCAAATTAGTTATCCAAAGTGGAATGGGAGGCAGTAGATTTCTTCCCCTCCTCCAGGTCTTCAAAGGAAGGAGTATTGGAGAGGATCCCTGTAGGGTTGGTTTTGATGGCCTCCTCTATTCATTCCTACTCTAAGAATCTCTGATTCTGGGATTCTCCCAAGATCCAGCCTTCTCACCCATTTCCAGCTCTTGGACACTGCTGGAGCGAGAGACCCCACATACTTTACCCTGCTGACTCCCTCAACAACAAAAAAACGAAACCTCACCTGAATGAGTGGGAAGAAACACCTTACTTTGGACAAGAAGTCATTTTTTACGAAACACCATAATGATTCATCTGTGCTCTAAGGAAAAGGCTATATATTATATACCTTTGAGGAATGGCATTGGCTTAGTGGACAGCTAACCTCAGAGGCAGGTCCTGAGTTCAAATACTGGCCCTCCCACCCACCTAGCTATGTAACTCTGGGCAGATCCCTTAATCTCATAGATAAGTGAGAGGCAAATCTCTCCAGGCTAGAAAGTACAGAGCAGGCACTGATTTACGCCCATAGAAGGAAGTTATGTTTATTATCAGATTTCAAGAGTCCAGA